AATTACTTTAATTTTGTTATTTTATTTTTAAAATTAACTAATTTATATATTTTATTTTATGAAATATTTTTCTAATATGTTCATTTGCATTTATCAAGCTTTTTAATAATTAATTTTTATAAAAAATTAAAAATTAATTTTAATTTAATAAATGTATTATTAAAATCATCTAGATGATATTGACTTAGTAAATAATTAATTGTTGAAAATTACATAAATGTGCTCTTAACTTTAACAAAGTCAAAGAAAAAAAATTAATTTTATTTTATTTTATTTTATTTTATTTCATCTTATTTTAATAAATGAAATTTTGTTCAAGAATGACATTAGTGGTGTTGGTGGCCCTATAATAGCCCAAATTTTTAGTACTCGTGAAATAAGTAATTAATTTAGGCATGAGATGACTAATATAAAAATGGATTTTAATAGGGGACTAAGTTGTCTAACTCTTTAATCTTGCGGGATGTTAATAGGAAAAAAAAAAGAGAGAGCGAGGAGCACGAACAGATTAAAGGGAAAGGAAAACCTAATTTCCTTTTCGAGGTCTTCTTCTTCTTCTTCTGGTTTTCCTCTCCTCTTATATCCTAAATTCAAAACCCTTGAAGCTGTAAACCTCCTAATCTCTCTTTGATGCTGCTTCTTCTCATCAAGATCGCTACTTTCTATTCTTCTTTCCTTGTCTGTGGTTTGAATGCCCAATGGGTGCTCCTTCTGTAACTTTTTGGTAAGAAATCATCTCGATTGCTCATTGTTCCATCCTTAATTTGAATTGGGCTAACCCTAATCCTTTAGGGTTTTCAATTTTGAGATTTTTCTGTAGTTTTTCCTCCTTGGTTTTGCCATAGTGCCACCAAATCTAATTTCTTTTGCTAAAAATTCTAATAGCATGACCTTGTAATAGTATTTTGCCCATAAGTCTTCTTGTGGATATCGAATTGAGTTCATTCTTGATTCTATAGCAAGTTAAAAGATAGCCCTATAATTTTTATGTTGAACAATTAACCAAGTTAAGTTGTTTTCATGATGAAAACTCTGTTGCAAGTTTGATTCTCGCAGGTAAATAGAATTGGCAGCCTAAGTTAGTATTTTGGCCATAACTTTCTTTGTAGATGTCGGATTAAGGTGATTCTTGATCCTATATAATGCTAAGACATAGGGTTATAATTTATCTGTTGACCACTCAACCTAGATCGGTCTCTTGCTCTAAAACCCCTTGTTATGACTTTATTTTGACTGCCTTTTAGCTGCTGCTTTTTTGCTTAAGTGTTGTTCATTTTAGCCCAATTTTGGCTTGTAACCTACCCTGTTTTGCTACTATCTTTGTGCCCAGAAAATCCTTGTTGTTCAAGGCTTTTTCCAAGCATTTTGGGACTGTTTTAAATAGTAAAAATCCCCACCTTACTGCCCAGCTTTTGTGCTGCTACTTTGGGCTAGTTTTGAGCTTGGTTTCTCACATTTTTCCACTTTGTTTTGTCCAACAAATATGCCTAGTAAACCCACCATACATGGGGTCTTTTGGTGCTATTTTAGGCATGTTTTAAGTATGATTATGCATAGGAATATATATACATATATTAATAGGGTTTCAATGGGTAGAAACAATGTTTTAAAACCCAACCCTACCAGGTCGATTGAATTGGTTCAACTAGACCCGGGCTTGAAAATGGGCCAATTACATGCCTAACTCGTTTTGAGAGTTAACCCACGAAAACCCACTTGACCCGTTCAATTTGCTTCGTCCACCCAACCCATTCCACCCGTCAGGCATAATCTGTTGTCGCTACATTTCTTTGGGTGCGCAATCCTTTCCTCCATCAACCTCATTGATAGGCAATGTAAGTTGTAAGGGATCGATTTCACAACAATCAGACTTGTGAACACACTTTGCTTCTTCGCCTTCATTAACTGCTCATTCATAGCAAAAACCAATCAACATCGTTTCACGGAGCTAATCTAGCGGTGAGAAATGTGAGTACTGGACTGGAAAGGAATCTCCAACTGTAGCACCTCCGTCGTCGATCAACATCATTCCACAAAGCTGATCCAGCGGTGAGAAACTCTCTCGTGAACCTCTATCCTTCTTCCTTTAATTTTTCTTGGTTCCTCCCTTCTAGCCAAGCTTCTATGGCAATTCGGTGATGATGAGGATGAATGCTGGGGTTGAAGTAGATCTCAGAATTGAAACTTGAAAGAGAATCGGGACTAGGGAAGGAAGCCCAGAGGAAAAAATCAAGGAAATTTTTTTTTTTAAAAAAAAGTCCAGAAATCGAGGAGAGGAGATCTGAAAGAAGTTCGGTAAAGATGATGGTGAGGTGGAAGTTTTTGGGGTTAGGAGAAGTTGACGGTTGAAGAAGAAAGTAAAATCGAATAAATATGTAAAAAAAAAAGGTGTTTTTTAGTTGCTCGGTTGGATTAATCGGATTAACTGGTTCAACCGATTGAACCAAACCCAATGGCCAAAACGGGTCAACCACCGGGCCGAGCCCAAAAACATTGGGTAGAAGTAACTGAGAGGTGTAGGAGGAAGTTGCTTCTTTGGGTAGAAACTTGATTTTGGAATTTGGAACCAAATCAGTTAAATGAATTTTGTTGTAATCTCATTTATTCCTTAATGTGGTATAAGTTCTAAATCACCTCAAGCGCCTTGAGTTCTTGAATTTCTTGCTTGTTGTGTACCTATAAGGCGAGATAAGTAAAATTATGGTAAATACCCCTGGATTTTAAGGTAAAGGTTTAAAAGTATATTTTTAAACTATTTTTGAAGTGGCGGTGGGACTAAACCTGTTTTACTCAAACACAAGTATGATTGGCTAATGTAAAGTTGTTATTATTTTTATTGAGTTGAGCATGCCTACATGAAGTTTACTTGGGTGTTCTAGAAATTTGAAAATTTGTTTGTAAGCAATGACTTTACTGTTAACTCTTGCATATTTGTAAATTTTGAGTTTTCCTATTGAACTCCTGCATGGTTTTGTCTCTAATATGGTCATAATTCCTAAAGCCCATTAGTGGGAGTTGTAAACATTGGCACATGTCGACATATATTCTTGGAAACTGGTTTATTCCTGTTATTCTTGCTATTGGGATAGTACACTAGTTATTCCTGATACTTGCCAGTGGGAGTTTGTTAAACACTGGTCATGACTGAATTGAAAAGACCACTACTGAGTTTTATTTTGCATTGATGGTTTATAACCAAGATATTTTTCCTCATGTTTATGTTCCAATTGCTATTTGGCATGCTTTAACTTTGAAATAAGGGTTACCCATATTTTTACTTACTGAGTTATCTTACATAGTTTTTTCAGGTCCACCATTTCAAGTAGCGTGACCTGAGATGTGGGAAACCAAGAGGAGTGACGAGCTAGAAGGCTAGCCACTTGTATTTTGGATTTAGATTATTTTGGAGTTAGGTCGTTAATCAAATTATTTTTGGACATAGAGTTGTATAATTTTCATGCACTCTTGGTCTATTAAAGCTTGGATTATAAAATCAGATTTTATTTCATGATTTGGATCTTAGTTAGTGGATTGCTAGATATGAATTAAGTAAGTTTTGAGCCTTGTGCATTTATGGGATCCTCTCAAAAGTGTACGACATCTGTTTCGCTCTTGGTTTTGGGGTATGACAGGTCCAATGGTACAAAACCTAAAAGTATGCTGAGGAAGTGGGGTTCAAATCCTCTTGTGCACAAACTTATTGTAATATATTCAAAACTCTGTGAATCAGATGGTTCAAAAGTTAATAGGTTTGATCAATTTTTTGAGTTTTTATTGGGTTTGACTTACTTTGACTGGGTTTCACTGCACACTAGGTTTATATCATAAGTTGAATGATTTTTATAACCGATTCTGATTTAACCAATCAGACTGATTGCTTTGCTCTAGGTTTAAAACAATGTTGCTAAATTTTATAATAAAAAGTTAATCTAATGTAGTTAAATATAAGAGATTTGGTTCTTAAGAAGGCTAGCTTAATAGGTTTTAAAACCAAGTTTAGCAAACTCACCCCAAACTAGGAAGAGTCATACATTGTGGTTGGTATTCTACATCCATGTGCATACATTCTCCAAGACTCTAAAGGGAAAAAAGGTGCCAAGGGTCTGGAATGTCAACAACCTCAAAAGGTTTTATCCTTAAATTGTGAAGTGTATTTTTTATTAGTGTAGTTCCCTTTTTTGGCAAGGTTTTTGAATGAAGTACAACACTTCCAATAAAGCCTCACCAACGACCTATTAGTCTGAGTAAAAGGAGTTTGGTTCCTCTTAAGCAAGGTCTCAAGTTCGAGTCTTATGAATGGAAAAACAGGCGCTACGAGAGCTTTCCCCCTAATGGGGTCTGACGCAGCTTGATTCTGTTGTACCTATGATTTTGATGATTACAAACACATTTGAGTGACTAATTGGCTTATTTAAGTGTGTAGTTAAAATGTCAAAAGATTGCAAAGTAAATAAACTTGGACTGCACTAAAGATGGACCAAAAGGATTAAAAATGTGCATAGAGTCGACTGTTGAAACTTGCAACCAGTTGTGAAAGTGCAGAGAGCCGGTTCTAGAAGCTACAGCCAGCTCTACGGGTAAAAACTTAAAAGTCAGTTGTTTGACGTTCGTGGAGAAAAGACGCAAAGCCGGCTCCAATTTTGCAGTCGGCTGGAAGGATGCATTTAATGCACAACAGTCGACTTATGTAAAGAATTATTAATATTTTTAAAGTCGAAACACCAAATCCGGCTTTACATTTTGCAGCCGGTTGTGTAAGCAAAGAGAATGTGCAGGAAACCTGCAAAGCCGACTGCATAATTTTTAAGCTGGATCTACGGAGAAAACAGAATGCAGGAAACCCGTGAAGCCGGCTGCAAAAATGGTAAGTCGGCTCTAGTAACTTAAGCCGACTGTGCTAACAGTTCTACAACTCAAACCATGCGTCTTGTAAAGCATTTAATGACCCCCAATGGCTAAAAACAACTATTTGTTAGCAAGAGGCTATAAATATGATTGGTAACAGATTTGGAACAATCTTTAGAACATTGCATTGAATATCTTTACCAACCCACTTGAGCTTTAACTTGAGTTTTTAATCTTTGAGTGATCTTTGCTTGTAATCCTCTTCTTATTCTACTAGTGTATGTTCTTGGGGGTGTGATTAGTCCTTCAAGAGTGATCTATTAAGAGGATTCTTGGGGTTTACATTGTAAAAGGGTGAGGTTTGAGAGAAATATTCATCTTCTTGTAAAAGGATTTAGTGGCGCCTTAAGCCACCCTTGTCTTTCTTAGTGATGAGTGTGGAGGAAATCCTTGGTGAGTGAAGCTAAGGTAGAGAACTAGGCTCCAAGTGGTTGGACCGAACCTCTATAAATTCATTATGCAAGCTTTTCTTTTCTACTCTCTTTAACTTTGGTTTTGTGGTTGCAAAAGGGGAGAATTTTTGGAACTCCAGTTCACCCCCCTCTTGGAGTACCTTGACTCAACAGATTTTGGATTAGTCAAGACCCAATGTGGTTACCAGATGCTGAGAGATTAGTACCAAAAAATACCAATGACCTGTTAGTTTGAATGGAAAAAGCTTAATTCCCCTAAAACAAGGTCTCGAGTTCAAGTCTTATGGATGAAAAAACAAGCATTGGGAGAGCTTCACCCTTAATGGGGTCTGACGCAACTTGATTTCGAATTAGTCAGGACCCAATGTGGTTACCAGATACCAGGAGATTAGTACCAAAATAAATACTTAACATCAAAACATGAAGAAAGCCTACTGTTGAATAAAAGAGGGTAGAAGGTAGAACACAATAACTTTTAGAACACAACATTCCCTATGTACGAAACTACAAATTCCAACTTTCAAGCACTTAACACTCAAAAGTCTAAGTGTACAATAACAACATTAAGATTATACAACATTCATCCTAAGTATAACAGTAAAATAGAATAACAACCATAACAAAAGTAAGATTAACAATATAAATATGTATGGCCACTTATGGGTGGATGTTTGTCCCATCATTTGTTCATGACCATTTGAGGTCATCCCAAAAAATTACAAACTTCAAAATATAGTGTGCAAAACTTGTAACTCAAAAAATTCATGTACAAAATGAAGAAGGATGAAGGCTCGATCATATATTTAGCTCCAAATTGAGGTCATATTCCAACTCTATCCCAAAACTATGATTGCTCTAACCTAGTTGTTCATGAGCATCACCATCTTGGGCACCCTCAATATCAACTTCTTTTTCTTCCTCTAATAGAACAATTTGAACAGAAGGAAGGAAGACCCCCCAAACATCAGTCTCTGGCCTTTGAAGCTTCATATCTGTGAGGAAAGGAGCATTTTAGCTCATCTTGCCTTTATTCACCTGATCTCCATTCCTCTAAGACCTTGACCTTGGTTGCATCCGAGTTAAGGTATACCACCTTAAACTTCTTCCTATAGTCGTCATACACCAACATCATGGTTGATAGGCAATGAATGTTTAGGATCTACCTAAAAAGTAAGATCTATATGAAAGAGTTTATGTGATTTCTTGCAACATTGTGTATTGACAGTTTGTGCCCATTTTCCATTCTTTCTTTCCCCTTCTAAAGGTCAAAAACCTTCTTCCTCCCGGCCTCAGCCTTGTCTTTTGATCGAATGACTTTCTTTTCTACCTCTTTCCTCTTATTTTTATCCCCCTTAACCATAGTTTTCAACTGTTTGTTGAGGTGTGCTGGTGATGTAGGTTGATGAATCAACAGCAATGATGATGTGGAGGTTGACTAGGATGACACTTGAGGAGATGAGGGGTTCTTTCGGCAGCACCCATCTCACGTGCACATGGCTACGTGCTACGGGCCATCCTATTCCGTCCAACGATGATATTACACAGCCAATTCCGCAGCGAAGTTGCAGAACATAAATCCCCTAGTCAAGCTACTAGAGCCGAACAACAACAGCAAACTTCTTGTAGACTTGGAACAATTACACAACTACCAAAACCATCAATAGGAGTATGCATATGGTTGGAAGGGTGACGAAGATGATAAACATATGGGGTTCAAAGATTACAATTTTAAAGTTGCCTTTACACATAGAATACCATGACATAGTAATAAAGACACCAAATAAAACCCTTGTCATGTCTAGTGAACATTTTTACCCTATAACGCACACCTCTCATGTTGAACACAAAGGGCGCAATGACCCTCCTGAAATTTCTTCAGGAACAAACAAAACAAGGAGGATGAACTCAAAAATAGTGATGGGAGAAGGAAAGGTGTTCACTTGGGGACACTGATGGGTGGAAATCTCAATCCCGTTCTTTGCTGCTAACCATGTGGCTTGATCGTCTGATGCTCAAGAAGAATTACATGGGTGACAGAATTGTAAGCTATTGTTTCCCAGCCATAATATCTTGCAAATCTGGGAATACCCTACAATATTAGAGATTATCATGCGAGGCTTGAAGTCATTCCGCAAGATTGGAGATACAGAGAAGTGGTGATTTCTTAGTAGCTTTTTTAACATGCAGGATGATGGATTGTAGGTGGAGTAACTTTTTTTTTAGGGAGGAAGAATGGGGATCTAATGCGTGAAAAGAAAATCTAGTTATCCTGTGTGTCCCTTTTTGAATGGCAAGGGAAAGATGATATATGCAATCAGGGGTAGCTTTGTAATCCTACTTAATATGTCAAAAATGTACAGATAGGTCCAAGTGAGTTGTCGAGCTTAGAGTAGTTCCGAGCACTGTTGACGATTGCTCTGGAGTTAGCCTGTTGGTTCCAACGAAGTTTCACTGGTTCCAGTGATGGACTGGAAACTAGCCATTATTGGAAATTCTCCCAACCATACGAAACTTCGTTTTTGGGGGATGCTTGAGTGCAACCAATAGAAACACCAGCTGCATGGTGATTTGGTGAGTTCCCCAAGGTCTGTTCGGGATTTTGGGAGATTTTGCAAGCAGATAATGATCTTCCATAGTAGTTTCCAAAGCCATGAAACTTGTGCAGCCACCCCTGCATTAAATATGGCTACAAGTTGCTGATGGTGATTCAAGCAGCATCTTCAGTTGGTCTTCAACGGGATTTCCAACCTCCAGTTAGCATCAAAGGATACTATTCCGGGACTTAATTTTGTTTCCACACCTTCACCACCCAACCTTTTCTAGCGAAATTGGGCAATATCGCCAGCGCGAATGCCTTGTTTCGCTAGAAAGGCAACATTCACCTATCCATCTACCAAGCCATTACCCCTATAGTTTATCCCAAGTAATGCCCATGAGCTTGGATTCACAGGCTTGTGCTTATCTGTGATAAAAACAAAGTACACATGAGCATATATTTGAGTATTTTAGATACAAGCAATATGTGAACATATGTAGCGAAGAGAGAAACTCCCTTATATGTTGAGAAAGACCATGTGGGCAAATGTTCGCTGCTCTCATTTATTCGCTAGCTGTGGCAGATGCTGCTTTATTGTTGCTATGCATGGCTGGCGTTGTGCCAGAATAGAGAATGGATGACATGGGTGTGTGTTGTGATACCGTTATCCAAGACCAAGCTTTGTTGGTTGGCGATACCTGTTAACACTTAAAATATATAAAAGAGATATGTTATAGGTTGGGATTACCGTCAATCGATAACTTTGT